GCTATTGAAAATGAGAAAAAGTAGATTTTACAGCATTTATGTTCATGTTAAGTACAAGTTATTTTTGTTTTTGTTTTTTCGAAGGTGTTTTTCATATAATACTGCTTATCTTACCAAGTGCATTTTGGGTTTTCGGGGTCATGAAGATCCCAGCTAAAATGCAGTTTAAAAAAGCGCACATTTAGTTTTTTAAAAATTTGCTTTAAGCTCTTTTAAATTGATGTTTTTGTCAGTTGGTAAGCCGGCTAAATGGCACAATGACTCAAAACTAATTTATGGATAAGTCTTTAACCAAACAATCTGGAACGAAGGTTTTTTGGGTTTTTTCATAGCGTATGACTTTCCCCCAAAAAAATCGACGTGTGTTATTCCTAAAATTATAAAGTTAACCCTTCCAAACTCCCCAAGAGGGTTTTCAGGTATTCGTAAGAAAGGAAAAAAATTAATTATAGTTTTCATTAGTTTTAAAAAAAAGTATTTCTTCACGTAGGGTTTTGGGGGGCGAGCACTGCTATGCTGATCTGGCAGCTTCTACAATGACCTCTGCTCCAACCGTAGTGGTGTTACCTTTCATTTGGAGGAAACAAGGCAGGCCGACAAAGAGATCATGATACACGGACAACTCATGGTCTCTCTCTCTCTCTCTCTCTCTCTCTATATATATATATATATATATATATATATATATATATATATATGCGTGTGTGTGTGTGTGTGTATGTTGGTCGTATGTGTGTGTGTTTTGTTTTGTGGACAATTAAACAAATATAGATTGTACATCTTTGATCTTTCCTAGAACAAAGACGTTGACCTCTGCTGGAGTGACCTAGCTAGCAGCAAAATGGACGTATGTTATCGGAAATTATTCGGGTATTCCTTGATCTCTGCCATCTTACTATCGGAACGTACAGGTAGGCGGAACTTGTTCTTTTCTTTTAACGAAGCACAAAGACACTGACACAAAGTTGTCTGGCTCATACCCATCAGGTAATAAGGTGGTCCCAGTTTCAGCTTCACAGCAACCGTGTCGCCCATAGTTGACCCGTCCTGTACCAACGAAAAGAACAGAGAATACCTATTGTTGTCCCTTAAAAGACACAAATGGACACAGATTGAAGTCTCAATTAGGCCAATAGCATACACTCGCATTAAATGCACAAGGCAGTCGTCAGAAGTACCAACACAAACAGTCCATCACTAGCACTGCATAGTCGATGGAAGCAGTAACTGCAAGCGAATCAGTAGTTCATACGCTATAAAATGTGTAACCCACCAACAGTTCTGTGGCAACGTACCATTCGATGCTTTGCAATCTGCAGTTTCCAACAAAAACCACACTGGACAGTCAGAAAGTAGTCCAAATAAAATCCACAGCTCTGTGTAATGGTCATGCCATACATTCAACTCATTATCTGGCTCTGTGGAACTATATATATTTAGTGCCCTTATTGGGGCGGGGGAGGGGGGGGGCATGGCTAATCGTTGTCAAAAGGCAAACAGCTTGTTACGACTAAAAACAGTAAACCTGTCTATCCGCAGTACTGGGCCGGAGCAACTAATAGTTAATTCAAATGTGTATTAATTCATCGTCGGCTCTGTGGCTAAGTCGATGCGAACGCCTTGTAGTCCCGGGATGCCGGGTTTGATCCTAGCTGCGGGCCATGTGGCTTGCGTTGGTTTCAACAGTGGTATCAAGAAAGCCGACCGTCCAGAGGCAATGGCAAACTACTGGACGTAAATTTGCATTAAAAAAACACACAACAGGCAGGGGCTGTTGGGGTTGGTTCTGCAACGTCCTGTAAAGGATACGTAACTAACCAACAATCTGGGTCAATGGAACTATATAAAATTAGTGCCCTTATTGGGAGAGGGGAGGGGGGGGAGGGGCAAGGTTGTAATGGCTAATCGTTGTCAGAAGCAAACAGCTTGCTACGACTAAAAACAGTAAACCTGTCTATCCGCAGTATTGGACCGGAAGTAGTTAATTCAAAGGGGTTTTTTATTCAGCCTACAGTGTCCAGTGCATTAGGGAAATATGGTGACCTCCTCTGTATTACTCAAGTGCTTGAGGAAGTATGTTTTCTTGGTTTGTTTATAATCGGTCTTCGTTTTTCCAATATGTTTTTGATTATATTTAGGCACCATAGCTGAATTACAAGCTTACGGGTGTGCTGTCGGTTGGACAGACTTTGAGGATTTCTGTTATAAGATTCAAGTTGAGGAAGTCACGGCTGATGACGCCAGGATGACCTGTAAGGATTGGGGAGCGACCTTGTCCAGTGTTTGGAGTGAGGAAGAGAGGACATTTATCATATCGCTATGGCAGGTACGTTGTAAATTAATAACATGAAAGTTAAACTTATTTCCATTGACAAGTCCTTTTGAAAAACACGTTGTTCAGGTACTGGTCAGATATGATTGAGCTACCGTATAGTTGGTACTATTTGTTTTCTGTTAACATCGAATTTTAGGCAACGTATACCAAACCTAACATCCCACATTTTGCCAGCGGCTTCGTGCGAAGGAATACATTGGAAGGATGCAAGACACAAGCCTTATCACAGGAAGGAAAAATAATTCAACATTGAAACCATGTTATATCATTGTAGACGAGGCTTTTTTCCCTTGCTGGCAGCTGGTCAAAGAGGGAAGTCCTGACAGGCTGATAGACAAAGCACTACTTATCTGATCATGCAGCTTCTACATACTGCTTTTTCCTTCCGAGATGTATTGGTGTTACCTTTCTTCTGCAGCAAACAAGGCAGGCCGAGTGAGTGATCATCATGCACGGGTAATACATAGTCTCTACGATCATGCCAAGGCTTTGTGCTATGGAATTTATCCCCATGCCTACACATAGCACAGTATAAACACAATCGTCTGGAAAGACGGAAAGGTGTCGACGTGTGGGAAACATTGAGAAATAGTAGGCAATAGGTGATACGGCAGATAACAGTCACGTCTTCATTTTCTTCAGCATTCCGAGTAGAGCTGAGTGTCTCGAGGCATGGCGTCCTCCTCGAGTGTTAGAGGTCCCGGGTTCAAGCCCCTGTCAAGGCAGACAGGAAGCGACCAACACGAAGACGGGCACGGATATAAGTGACTCCTTGACCAGTGAGGGGGGAGGCTGAGTGGTCTCGAGGCATGGCGTCCGCCTTGAGTGCAGGAGGTCTCGGGTTCAGACCCCGGCCAAGGCTGGGATTTTTTTCACTTGGACTTGTAGGAATTTCCCTTGGTCTCTGGGTAGTAAGATCGGATGCCCGTGTGTATTGTTACGCACGTAAACAAATTCTTTAGCATTCGGAAGTTGAAAAGAGTAGCCTAAAAAAGCTACCGTTGGCAAAATTTTGAGTTAAAAAATCTACCTAAAGTATTTCACTATCCTCGCCGGTGCTACGGAGTTCGTGCACTTCGCTGAGATTCCTCAGACTCAGGCTTGAGTTAAAATTAGAACGGAGCACTTAGGGCTTAATATTCTTCTTCTATGATGTTGATCCGGTGTATAAACCATTCTTGAATATGAAAGTACGGGAGGCGGAAGAGCTGAGGAGGCACTGAGTTTCTTTTTGGCTAACTGTGACGAGAGCGACATTCTGCAAAGAACCTGCTACATGATAATGGTTGCATGTGCAGAACAGGGAAAATTAAAAATTTAATGGTATGCTAGAATGACAGATGTTTAGCTTTGGTGGAGAACTAAACAAACTTAATGAATCACGGGAAGAAAAAAAGGCACTGGCGATGGATAGGACACCCGTAACGAGTAAAAACACACACTTTAACAAGAATGCCCTTGCCGTGAAAATGACAGGATCAAAGAAGAAAAGAAAGGCAGACAAAAACACACAAGAACAAAGACAGAAAGTAGAGAATGAAGCTAAAAAGAAGGAGATAACATAATGGGAACTGCATGCGATTGCAAAGGGTAGGACAAATTGATGTGAGGGTGATATAATAGGATAAACGGCCGAAGAACAGAAAATGACGGTCACCTAAATCTGCGTCATTGTCATTACAAAACTCTGTTTTTTAGTCATATCAGGTTATATAAAGTAAAGTAAAAGTAAAGGACCTTTTCCCAAGCTTTCAGACGTATTGGGCATATAGGGCTAGATCTGTATTGTATAGATCAATAGGCGTTTGGTGGGTAATGTGGTCATCACTACGTTGAACTCCTTTCTTCTTCTTCTTCTTTTGTGGTTTCACTGATACCAGGTTGTAGCCCAGTGAGTGGTTTTCTGTATTTGTCTTGCGCTCTTACGGTATCTTATATGCTGGATTTGTTAATCTCCTAGCAGGTTTTAGCTATACTATTTATCCATATCTTTCTTGGTCTTTCTCTCGCCTTCCTTCCAGAAGTTCTGCTGTAAAAATGTCTCATACGTATTTTGGCTTGGCTGCATTCTCACTAGATGGCTGAGCCACTTCATTCTTTCTCTGTCAGTATCATTCAGACATGATCTTAATCCGACTTTCTCTCTGATGCTGATATTCATACAAGTGTCTCCTCTTGTGTTGTTAGTTACCGTGTGGAGACTGCACATTTCATATGTAGGTATTTTCTGTTCTAGCACCTTATTCATTGTCCACGGCCGGACGCATTTACTTCCCAGAAACCCACGTGAAACCCCCTCAAGGCGTGGTCGACCTGGGAGCCAAGGTCCGGCAGTACCCGAACCCAGGAGTTTCCGATCCGTAGGCGAGCGTCTAGCCGCCACACCACGGCCACTCTTATCTGGTGATTTAATGAGCAACTATTCAGATGCGAATCCAAAAGGAGATTTTTCGAGAAACCCCGTTCAACTGTATAACTCTTTTATTTTGAGGCACCTAATGCAATGGGAACCGCTATGGTGTAGGGGCGAGATGCTTTCCTGTGGGTTGGAACATCATAGGTTCAAATCCTAGAATTATTTTTAAAAATGATCTTGGCTGCCAGTTTGACCCAGCCTCCAATGTGTACCAGGTAAAAGTTATGAGAAGTAAAGGCGACCGGTTGGATGCTGACAGCTTGGTCTATTAAATATAGACCCAGCCCTTTATGCCTAATATGCGCGAAGGCGTGTAAAAGGGTCCTTTTGAAATTGCCTGGTATCCATTGTGGTTGGGTTTGGAACACTTTTATGTAATCTGAATGAAAGCAGTCTATCAATGTACCGCAGCACAATCTCAGTTTAACAACTTAACACACTTCTTACGTTCTTGTTATTATAGTGGATTTGACCTCAATTCATGTTACGATTTCAATACCGTTGACATTTATTATTGCAGTTCTCACCTTTCCTTTTGTTCATTTTCGCGAGCAACTTCCCTTCTCCATCGATCATTCTTGCACTTCAATGTTGATTGTCTATTGTGCTCACGAGCTTACAACCCTCGCCCCTAAGCTCGGAAATTGATTCAGCTTCTTCTTAAGCCGCAGAAAACAATGTGCATGTATTTTGTATTCACGAGCATGGTCGAGTATCGATGTTCATTCACTTCTGTCCCTAGTTTCCGACAAGCGATCTGGGATTTTTGTGGCTGGGGATGAGAGGGGACTCCGATGGAGATTGGGTGTTCGACGATCAGTCCTCAGTCAAGACAAAGAAGGGAGGTATATGTGACTTAAATCTGACAGTACAAAACTGTTATTACTTTAACTCTTTCTGTTCCTGTAATGGGCGTCGTTAGGGCTCAATGACTTGTAAGAGGGCGGGGGCACAGTCTCTTTAACAAGCAAATCGTGAAATAATACTAATTAGGGGTTTTTCCTTTAGAGTCAGAGTGAATCTGCTTGAGAGGCATGGAACCAACAGTCTGCATGAAAAAAGACAGATCTGTAAAACAGATATACGCGCAAGTTCTGGAAGAATACAATCCAGAAGTGGACGAACAACCAGGGGCGTTCCGTCAGAGTTTACAGTCAGTGAACGCAAAGAACACGACTTCCGGTCTGAATCAGTTGTCCCCCATGTGGGGTTCAGGACCGCATTTTGGGAGGAAAAGTATTAGACCTACTGTCCCGACAAGCATGTCGTAAAAGGCGACTAGCGAGAAGTGTGCTAAAATCAGATGTATTAGGCCAAAAGGAGCAGGTATCACAAAACAGCCCGCCACTTTGCTAGTTGCTTCATAAAAAATGATACAGGGGGTATTATTAAATAATTGATTTATTTTTTATGGATAGGAAGCAGCGTTTTTAAAACATCAAAACATAAGTATAATTACACACACATACACACAAACAGTTTCTAACGTGAATTTTTATTGCAACACCTGCTGCCGGTGCTAAAACTTAAAACTATAAAACGTTTATTTACATAAATGTAACACATGTGGAACGGACAAAATGCCTGAAAAAAACACACACACGCACACACACACACACATATACACACACTAGCGCGCGCGCACACACAGACACTAAGAAATTAACCGTCAGCATTACCAAACGAAACAGAGTAAGAAATGATACTTTCAGACAGAAACAACACCCGGCAAAAAATTCACATAGAAGATGAATTAGCCCTGCTCTCTATATGGGTTCCAGGTCCCAATTAGATGTGTGTGTTTTGGGTGGAAAGGGTTGGGGGGGGGGGTGGTCCCAGTTTCCCCTTAATAAGCATGTCGTAAAAGTCGACAAATTAAGGTTTTCCCTTAGAAGTTGGAGCTCATCTGCCAGACGGGCGAAAGACCAGCATGATGTACACATAAACCAGTTCTGTGAATCTGTTGTGCATGCGAAACTCAGGTTCTTGAGGGCTGGGCGGGGAACTAAAGTCAAGAACTGGAAAAGCAACCGGAACTTTACGCGGAAGTTTACGGCCGGTGAATGTTAAGACGCAGAATAAGAAACTGCTATGTAATCACGTTAGAATGCAGCCCCAACAACTGCCAATACTGACGCTACACTTAAACAAATTTGATAAGAAAGCAAGAGGACGCCCAAGGAGGAAAACAACTGATGACATTACAGACATTCTACAGCAACACGGAATGACATAGCCAGTGCTGTCCATAGGACGTTGGATCGCACAATGCGCCTCCCCACGGCGCTAAACGGCACAAGTGAAAATGAAATACTCTTTTTTATGATTGCTGTTAAAACATATGCAGTTCCGAGAGGTAAACAGAACGTATACATGCAATCATGTGTGTATATGTTTAACTTAACTTCTCCAACTCCACACAGCTCACCTGCGAATTCAAGGTCCTGGGTTCAAGCCGTGACTGTGATGGACTTTTTTGCAAAAAACAGTTTCCCAGGTCAACCCAGCCTTAAATAGGTACACCAGGTAATCCCTAGGAAGTAAAGGCGGCCGGAGTGATGTTGATCACACCATCCAACATGCCTAAAAGCGTGAAAGACGGTCCTTTAACTGTATACTGTAAGTAACATTAAAGAGCCCTCTTGGTTCCGGTGAAGCTTCGTTATTTGATAGACTCATTTTGTTTTTCAACAGCCAATCGTCGTTTGAAGGGTGATGTGGCCAACATCATTCTGGCTACTTTTACTGCCCAGGACATTTCCTGATACCGACTTGAAGCTGGATCGACCAGGGGATCAGGCCCAATTCTTAAAAACAAATAACATTATGCATGCAGATTTGAACCTGTGGATGTGAATTATATAGTAGAATCTTCATGACTCACATACATAAGAAGACACGGGAAAGATGCAAAAAGTTAACTTTCACTCACTTGCAGGCGCTGTATTTCGGTTACTGATCTGTTAAAGCGAGGGGTCCCTGTGTGGTTTCAGTAGTCCCATTGTAGGGAAAACAAGAAAAGAGCCACTGTCTACCCAATAAGCATGTCGTAAGAGTCGACTGATTGGGAGCTTTCTTCGAAAACGGAGTGCATCTGCCCGAGCTACAAGAAACCGCTACCTGCACACAAATAAGCCAGTAAAACAGATGTACACTCCAAACTCAGACCCTTCTCAAGTCCAAACGGACGAACAACCAGGACTTTTCGCGACAGCTTACAACCGGTGAACAAACGAGAAGAAAAAGAAGATAAAATGGGTCATTTTCTTGCTTCTTTTGTGCACTGGTCTTTCTTTATCACTGAGCCGAAATATTCAAAAGCTGTAGATTGTAGATTTTAATAGGTGTTAATTACTTGACACCACAATAATTGAAGAAAATCTGTGTGTCTTCCAAACACCCAGATGTCAACTGGTCAATATTTGCAAACATATCCGGAATGCCAACAGCGACCACAAAAAAGTGTGTAGCTTTTCGATCGTCCGGCAGTCTGGCCTTCTTGGACTGTGGAATGCCAGGGGATGCATTTGTCTGTAAGAAAGGTTGGAGCATTTTGTATTCTATTTGTGACTATTATGACTATAGGTAATGTACAAGCTGTTGGACTTAGGGCCAGGTCTGCCTCGGAAGGCGGACGAGCAATGGATCAAACTGAGGCATTGAATGCTCTACAAGACCCCATTTAACATGTTTAAGAAGGTATGTGACATCACTCAAACACACGTAAAACACCCTAAAGTTAAAAATGTTGTGTTTTTCTCGTATTCCAATTTATGTATTTACAAACAATAAATGCTTCACTAAAAAAGCGAAGTATTATCAGTCATATGTTGGTGAACGTGCGAATGTCAGCAAGGAACTAGTTTGTTCTAACTCTGTCAGTAGAGACTTTTCTCTAACTGCTTCGAACTCTTACTGGACTCTAGTTGGGAACTTCTGCACCCGTCTCCAACTCTACTGAACTCTGGTGGTGAACCTCTGCACCCGTCTTCAAACTCTACTGAACTCTGGTGGTGAACCTCTGCACCCGTTTCCAACTCTACTGAAATCTGGTGGTGAACCTCTGCACCCGTCTCGAACTCTACTGAACCCTAGTTGGGAACGTTTGGACCCGTCTCGGGCTAGACTGAACTCTATTTGGGAACTTCTGCACCCGTCTCGAACTCTACTGAACCATAGTTGGGAACTTCTGGACCCGTCTCGAACTCTACTGAACTCTAGTTGGGAACTTCTGGAACTGTCTCAATTTCGACTGAACTTTAGTGGGAAACTTCTGGAACTGCCTCGAACTCTACTCTCTACTACACTCTAGCAGTAAACTGAAACTGTCATAAATTTTACTGAGCTCTCTATTGTGAACTTCTGAAACTGTCTCACATGCTCCCATAATATTTAAACGAAGAACTATGAACCTGTCCTTTTTAAAACTTCTAATTTCTTGTAAATAAAAGTTTGTTCATATAAAAAATATTGTTTAAATGTGGCTAACTGAGAACCAGTCTACGAGAAGTGAGATGTTTATGCAAGTGATCACTGTGAAACTATCACCATGACTCAGCTTCAAAGACAGCAGGCAAAGGAGGTGAAGATTGTAACTGCAAATTATTGGGGAATATTTTGTTTTGAATATTTTCAACTTATGCCATTCAGGCAATACATAGCGATTACACGTGGACTTCTAGTAATTTCCTTAGTCTCTGAGTAGTAAGATCGGACGCCTGTGTGTATTGCTGCGCAGGCAAGAAATGATGGGGAAAAAGGGGGTGAGGATACATTATAATTGAAATGTTTTTTCCAACGTTAGATTGCCTGTCTCAGTCATGAAGGTAAAACAAAGAACACGAGAAAACAAACTACTTGTTAAGTGAGATGCTTGAGGCAGGTTGCGAAGAAAGTCAGTAGAGATCGTGTGAGAAATGAAAATATTTGAAGAACTATTGGGAGAATACTCGTGTCGATAGATTCACTGTGAAACAAAGACTGAAATGGTTCAGCCATGTAATAAGAATTAGATGCCGACAGAAAGAGCGTACAGCATGAAAATTAAAACATCAAAGCAGAGGGAGACCTAGAAAGAATATGGACTGATAGTCAATGACAGCCTAAGAATTCATAACGTCTCATTACACCAAACAAGCGACCCCACTCCGGCTCGGCTGCCTAGTATATTTTACCAGCGACGCCCAACAGCACACAGCAGTTATTGACAATAGAAAAATAATTATAATATTGTAAGACTTTTCTAGGATCGTCTGCCAATGGGGTCAGGTGAATAACTTATGTCACTTTCCTCTTTGTAACCAGCTCTGTCAAAGGTGTTCATAACATCCAGTTTGGGAAACAGTTCGAGTCCCTGGCCAGCAAACAAAGCTGGACACATTCGTCTGTTCGAGAGGATCCTGCCCCCGTCGTTGACCTCACTTCCGGCTGGCAGCTCACTTTTGGCAGAAATGCGCGTGGAAACAGAAATAGGCTGTGCCTTCAACTGCTTCAGGTCGGTGGTTCATGGTTGCAGTAAAGTATGGATAAGTTCCACGTTGGTCTCCACAGAGCCCGCCCATATACACGCTAGCTCACTATTGATTAGTAGTTCCTGAGCCGCGCGATTCTTCGCAGACTGCTACGGGGGTGTTCCGCAATGCCGCTGGTATCGCGTGTTGTATATTTCAGCACGCCAGCACTTTCAACACTATAAAAACATGGACAAACTGGGTCTAACACACATTACCCCCCCCCCCTCCCCACCCATAGAGAGTGCTGCAACCTATGTCACAGGCATTCTCTTTCTCGGAAGAAAAAAGTAATTACAAGACAAGCCAGAAAGCAAACAACAGACAGGCACACCAGTAATCCCCCGGAAAGTAGACCAGTCCAACAAAGTTTTCAATGGAACATGACCTATTTTGTTTGGGGAGAGTAACGTCGAACTAAATAAAGTATGGTCAGATGTGCATTAGGTATGGGAGTATCGGGGAAACGATGTTAGACTCAGCTTTTTTAAAGGTCTGTGTTTCCCTTAGGTGTTGAATATCTTCTAGATCCCATACTCTACTCGCCCTATTGCCGCCCCCCCCCCCCCCAAGCTCCCTTCCCAAGTAGAATTAGTCTTTTAGTGTGCGGATTCTCTGCCTTGCTTTATTGCACTGACTGTTTGATTTCGGTGAGCCTTCTCCACGTCCGCTTTATCATAAAGTAGCTCAGCGTCCAGAGGAGCAACAGTATCCAATTTATTAGCTTGCTCATTATCATGCAAACTCGAATATCCTGGACATAAAATCCACGATTTGCTCCTGATATGAGTCTTGTCACGTGATGCAAACCCCTCTACGTGAAGGACGCTAGTTCCAATCTTCCGGGATTTGCTCTGAGTCCGTTAAAATTATAACATGCAGAGCCGTACTTCTCGCAAGCCATCGGAAAGCTACTATTACTGCCTCCAACTCCATTCTCATACTGAACGTTGTAACGTTTTTACGCGAGGCTCTGTTTTCAAACAGTGACCATTCACTGTTGCCAAAAAAACACCATCTAATCTTCTTACTTCTCACTAGGGACCCATCTGTGTATATAAGAATGTCACATGGGCGCGAATTTTCGTTAATCAGCTTTGGCACAGCTGTCTCTGTTTCACCAGCTATCCATTCAAGGCACTCTCGGTCCAAAGCAACTATCAATCTGAGGCTGTTCTGTTGGGCGACAGTGTGATCCATTCCTCACTATGCCCTATTCTGTCAGTAGTACAAACATGTATGATAGTGACTTCTGCCTGTGAAAGCTATCCTTTTTTTTCAGCCTATGTCACCTGCTATCCACAAGAAACATACAGAGTGTGTCCCCAATCCGTTGCTACTTCAAGGTACATTTTAGCCTGTAACATATTGTATCTTTCATATACAATCGGCAATACAAGTATGTACCGTATGCACACAATTGGCGTGTCCCTGGTATATTCCAAAGGGGCTGGCATGGCTCATTTTGCATGTTTCAGCTTCTTTTTTGGGGTGTGAAATAAAGTTATGTATGTATGATTGTATGTATGTATGTATGTATGTATGTATGTATGTATGTATG